TAGAACACTTTCTAACACCATACACAAAAATAAACTCAAGATGGATTAAAGATCTAAATGTAAGACCAGAAACTATAAAACTCCTAGAGGAGAACATAGGCAAAACACTCTCTGACATAAATCACAGCAGGATCCTCTATGACCCACATCCCAGAATTTTAGAAATAAAAGCAAAAATAAGCAAATGGGACCTAATGAAACTTAAAAGCTTTTGCACAACAAAGGAAACTATAAGCAAGGTGAAAAGACAGCCCTCAGATTGGGAGAAAATAATAGCAAACGAAGCAACAGACAAAGGATTAATCTCAAAAATATACAAGCAACTCCTCCAGCTCAACTCCAGAAAAATAAATGACCCAATCAAAAAATGGGCCAAAGAACTGAACAGACATTTCTCCAAGGAAGACATACAGATGGCTAACAAACACATGAAAAGATGCTCAACATCACTCATTATCAGAGAAATGCAAATCAAAACCACAATGAGGTACCATTACACACCAGTCAGGATGGCTGCTATCCAAAAGTCTACAAGCAATAAATGCTGGAGAGGGTGTGGAGAAAAGGGAACCCTCTTACACTGTTGGTGGGAATGCAAATTAGTACAGCCACTATGGAAAACAGTGTGGAGATTTCTTAAAAAGCTGGAAATAGAACTGCCATATGACCCAGCAATCCCACTTCTGGGCATACACACCGAGGAAACCAGATCTGAAAGAGACACGTGTACCCCAATGTTCATCGCAGCACTGTTTATAATAGCCAGGACATGGAAGCAACCTAGATGCCCATCAGCAGACGAATGGATGAGGAAGCTGTGGTACATATACACCATGGAGTATTACTCAGCCATTAAAAAGAATTCATTTGAATCAGTTCTAATGAGATGGATGAAACTGGAGCCCATTATACAGAGCGAAGTAAGCCAGAAAGATAAAGACCATTACAGTATACTAACACATATATATGGAATTTAGAAAGATGGTAACGATAACCCTATGTGCAAAACAGAAAAAGAGACTCCTATGTATAGAACAGACTTGTGGACTCTGGGAGAAGGCGAGGGTGGGATGTTTCAAGAGAACAGCATTGAAACATGTATATTATCTAGGGTGAAACAGATCACCAGCCCAGGTTGGGTGCATGAGACAAGTGCTCGGGCCTGGTGCACTGGGAAGACCCAGAGGGATTGGGTGGAGAGGGAGGTGGGAGGGGGGACCGGGATGGGGAATACATGTAAAAAAAAAAAAAAAAAGATACACTATGGTTGTGATAAAAAAAATAAATAAATAAATAAATTAAAAAAAAAAAAGACTGAGTGCAACATCACCTCTACTGGTAAAACAACTCCAAGTCCAGTATCCCACATCTCCTAGATTGACAGGTGGATTTTTTTTACCACTGAGTCACCAGGGAAGCCCCTATAAGTGCACATCCACCACCAATGGGTCATTGATGTGTTCATGTACTATGGATAGTATATTTTGATATTGAGGACCACTGTGAACCTCTTGGAAGCTAAGGCCTATACAAACTCTGGGTACTGTAGGATTGTTATTTAAGGCAGGACCCAGGAAAGAGCTATTGTGTTTCTCAGGGGTCCCCCACCCCATCCCAGGGAGCCCATTTATGTTACCAGTAGGAAATGAATAATGTTCAGCAATTTCTTTACCTAGTTGTGGAATTAAAGTATAGTCCCTTGTGCACCTGATCCACTTAATGTATACAAGAAATGATCCCCCCCTCCCCAGAAGTGGCAGACTGAATTTTATAACACTATATATCCTGCAGGAATACTTCTTATTACAAAACTTCACTGAGCCCTTGAAGCAACAGAGTAAACAGCTTTGGCTCAGGTGAAAAGAAAGGCTCAAACGAAACAATGAAAATGCATCAGTGAGCTGAGGGGAAGGCCTAGTGGAGCCCTGCATTCTGAAATGGGAACAGGGAATGTGTTCCAGGGGAGAAAGGCCAGGCATAGGTGAGAATTTGCAAAAAGCCTGCAGGTGAAGATATCCATGGCATATTTGGGGGGACACTCATGTGACCAGCATGGTTAAAGTAGCTGGTTCCTATGGGGAGCAGCAGTAGACAGGGCTATAAATGTTAAGTACTCTTAGGGAAGACAGGCAGGCAGAAGGATTCAGATTTGAAATAGACAGAAATAATGTGTTGGAGGTAGGAGGGAGGTTCAAGAGGGAGGGGACATACGTATATCTAGGGCTAATTCATGTTGATATATGGCAGAAACCAACACACTGTTGTAAAGCAATTATCCTTCAATTTAAAAAAGTTAAAAAGAAATAATGTGTTGGGACTAGAAAGTTCAGGTCAAAGATTCATCCTATGATTCCATCATGTTGCCTTTGTCAAAGGGGAACAGTCCTCCTGGCTCCCACCTCTTTTAAGTACAAGAGGTGGCAACAGTAGGATAAAGCAAGGACAACCACAAGGCTAATTGTGTTTCTCAGATGCTTGGATTCCCTCCACCACACTGTACCAGACTCTTCTCAGCTGCCTGCTGTTGTACTTGAAGTTTTCCAAGATTAGTGTGACCCAGCAAATACATTAGGCAAACTCAGTCTTTATTCACAGTTATAGGCTTTTGCCTCAAATTCATTTTTATTCTCTTACCCAAGTGAGCTGAGCTGGACAGCAAAGAAACCTCAGAGCCCTCTTACCCTCTTTTATAGTTTCAAACTTGAACCAGATCAAGAACTGGGCAACCAGTCCTCAGTTCCTTTTCCTTGCTCCTCCCCTTGTTTTGCTTAGCTTTCCTGCACTGAATTTCCTACTAATGTGGGAGACGGTGGGCAGGAAAACTTACCTGGGAGAAAGCATGGAGCCCTTTGGTCTTGCCCTTCCAAAGCCTTGCTCCACTGGAAGCCTTTCCTTTCCTATATTCTGATCTTGATGTATATTAGAGAGCCCACTCCTGAGATTACAGTGAGAGGTAATTAGATTATGTGGCCACTTGTCCAACACACATACACCCAGTCCCCCTTCTGGTTAAGGCCATGGGTTTTACTGCAAGGCACATGACCAGCTGAGGGTACTACTGTCCTCTTCAAGGGGGATCAGAGTGTAGCTGGACCTCAAGACAGGAAGATGCATGGGCATCAGAAAGCTTCCAAACCTCTGCTAAGAGCACTGGGGATACATAAAAGAGGCATTTGATCCCACCTCCCGAGTCTTCCTTGAATACCTACCCCTTCAGTGTTGTTAGGGGAATGATCAGGATATCGTTTTAACTAAATTGATCCCCAAAGCCAGGCTATACAGAAGGCTAAAACAAGTTTACCTTTTAATCTCACCCTATACTAAGCTACATTGTCCAGCTAAGCTTCCGGATAAGTTCTCAACAAACGTGACAGATGGCAGCAATAATATAGCCAGAGCAGCACAATGCCTGCCAAGTTAGGCAATGGCTGATTACAGCAGAAGAGTAAGCACCCCTCCCTTGTTCCCACAGGTTGTTCGAGAAATATAGAAGTTCCCCCCCACCAGCCCCCCCACTGCCTCGCATAGTGTAGCTGTCTCTGCTCTATTCAACCCCAGGCCAAGGCACCTGAATCTCTTTTCCAGAGCTGCAGGCTGGGGAGTGCTCACTGGGGAAGGTCTGGTCCCCTCATGTCAGGTGACTCCCCTCTAACAAGTTCACTGTGGAGAAGTCTTCTTCTTCCCCTCATTAATTTTTTTTTTGATCATTTGCTGATGACCTGGTAACGTAGAAACTTGGGAGTTATGGAAAAGAATGAAGAAACAGAAAAACATCCTCACGCATGATCCCCCTCATTCAGCAATAACCAATATTAACATAGTGTATTTCAGCAACTTTTCTTGACATGGTTGAAATCCTACCACTTCAAAATCATAGCTACTATTTTATCACTTGTTTCCTGCTTAAACAGCATGTCCATGGCTTTAAGAATTGTTGTTACCATGATTTTTTAAGTGGAGGAATCATCTTCTGTCTTACGTCTATACTGCTGTTTGTATAACTTGTAAGACACATAATGCTACAGGCCAGGCCCTGCTAATGCCAGGCCCTTCCATGAAATTTAATGCTGCAAGATAAAGTAATAATAGCTGATGTCGTTTGGTGGCTTATTATTTGCAAAGTACTCTTCTAAAGGCTCACATGTATTAACTCATTTAATCCTCATGAAATTCTACAAGGCAAGGGTTATTATTTACTGCCAGGTGATAGAAGCAGAACCTGGGAGCCGGAAGACAGGAGTGAATTGATCAGAGGAACACAGGGGGTGAGTGTCAAAGTTGGTGTTTGAACCCAGGCGTTGTGACTCTAGAGTCTGTGCTCTCAGTGATTGTAAACCGGCCAGTCCAGGAGCTCCCTGCAACCATGAAGGCAATTTACAATCTAATATGCAACATGCAGTAACGTTTTCCAGTCAAGAGTAGTGTTCTTAGGATACAATATACATTCTGTCCTTGGTTTACACTCTAGACTCATAACACCATTTCCCAGCCATAAGTAACAGACCTCTCCCAAGGATGTGAAAAATCTTATAGGAAAAAGGATAGACAGCATAAGGACTTTTGCTTTTCTAAAACATTAGCCTGTATGTGCCAACCATATAGCATCTACCACCTGTAAACTTAAAAGTTATTTAGAAAAAAATTAAAACTTATTTAGGTGAGCAGTCTCCCATCAAGAGATGGATTGCGGTGATACAGTATAACAGGATAGGATAGACCATTTGTGTAGCAAGCCTCTCTTTCTTCGGAGTAGCATTTTAAACCCATCTTTCCCCTGAGTAGAGACAGATGGTCACACTTCCTAGGCCCAGAGTCTTCTTAGTTCCCTTTCTTTTCTCTCCTACATCTTAAAAATCTTCCCATTTCCCCATCCAGAGTATCTGAGATTCAGCCCTCTCTCTCCGTTGTCCCTGCCTCCGCATCACTGAAAAACTCCTGTGGGTGTGGGTTTTGGTCAGGGTCAAAGTCTCTATCCTCTCTTGAGAGCAAAGCTCCTCACATTAACAGTCGACTTGCCTAGCAAAATTCATCACCTCGCACTCCCACAAATCCTTATCCCCTGGGCATCTCTCTGTATTTCTCCAATCCTGGGAAGGTTCCAGAGGAAACTGTGCACTGCCCTGCACTTGGCTCTCCTCTCCCTGCTGGGGCCTTCTCCTGCTTTGACTCAGCTTGGAAAACAGGTCTTTGAGAGCAGAAGTCCCCTCAAATGAATCCTGCCCTGGAGCTTTGGCTGCAAAGGAAGCATCTGCCTGGACCCTCACAGGGCAAGGAAGAATGGACTTTGCTTCTTCCTTACTATTCTCCTCCACTTGAGGCCAGCTTTTCTGGCCCATATTCATCCTTACACTTGCCATGGAAGACTCGCCCTGCAAGAGAGTCTGAACCGCACCTTTGGCTCTGAATGAGGTCCAAGCCTGGAATGTCAGAGGCCAAGAAGGAGACAAGACACTTTGGTCTTTTTTATCCTTCCTCATACACCCACTTTTCTCCCCTACGTTCAACCTACCGTTAGCAAAGGAAACCTCCTCCAGTGAGCTGTGGCCTGATGTCACATTTGAGCACGGGCTGCCAGCCTGAGCACTCTGATAAGAAGTAACCAGCAACATTTTATCTTTCTCCTCCTTTCGATACCTGCTTTGAAGCCCTGTGTTGACTCCATCCTCGGCAACTGCTGAAGCCCCAGCAGGAGCCATGGGTAACGGAGCTGTGGGTAATGGACCTGGGTCCATGTAAGATGCCCAAGCCTGTACTGTCAGAGGCCAGGGGCTACGCATGATCTTGTTCTTTTCATTTCTCCCTTTACGGCTGTTTTCCTGCTCTACTTTTATCTCCTGGTTGTCCACCAGAGAGTCCCACTCAGCAGAGGACTGAGTTGGACTTGCTGCTGGCAACAGGGCACCAGCTGGTGTCATCTGAGACTGGCTGAGAATGGATGCCTTTTCACCCTCACTGTTCTCCCTTTGCTCCCAGGTTTCGTTCTCCACACTGACTTCTATATCATCCTCTAACAGAGGCCCCAGGAAAGGAGTGTGACCCAGAACTGGGGCTGCCGAAGATGCTCGAGTCCGCAGAATCAGAGGACAAGGAAGATACACCATCTTTCTTTCCTTCCTATTCCTCCTTTTACGGCTGTTTTTCTTCCCTATGCGTCCCCTGATGTTAGTCCTCTGCCATATAGTGTGATTGGTAGCTGCTCGTGGTCGTGGGGCCTCGGCTTCCATATTCAGACACAGACTGAGGTTGGACATTTTTTCCACCTCATCACTCTCTCTTGGACCCATGCTTTCCTGCCCCACATTTCCCCCACTACTTGCATCAAGATTAGCATCTTGGAGTACGGTTTGAATGGCAGGCGGGGCTCCCGTGTATGCGGCAGCTGAATCTGCGTCATTTGCCTGGGTCGTCAGAGCCTCCATGTGAGCTAAAATGTCTTTTTCCATGTTTCTTTCCCCCTCCAACTGTGCCTTGCTTTTGTTTCTGGATCAATGAAAGTGTTGATCTGGAACAGAGAGAAAAGAAGTCATCCAAGAGGGAAATGTGATTTACAATCAAGGCTAGCAAAATGGCCCTTCTGGAAGGAGAGTATCAAGCATCAGGCCTGGGGGACTTAAATCAAGGATACCTGAAACCATTTAGGAACAGAGCTGGTTACAGAGGTGGTGAACAAAGTAAGGGTGTCAGACACTTCTTTGGCAGCTAGCTCACTGATCTGTGCTATTCTACCACAACCTCCCACAAAAGGCTCACTCCTACTATCTATCGGCGACCCTGGACACCCTCAAAATCCTGATGGCTGATATTTTCAATCTTTATCAATCATCACTGTCTTCTTTGAAAGTAGAGGAAAACACTGGAAAGACATCGGCAACAACATAAAAATACTTCCATTTGCATCTAAGGGGAATAGAGGTCAATGGTCAGGTATAGATCTTAGCATTGTTACCTTTTGATGCTTCAGATAGCCTTAGGAGACCAAATCGTAGCAGAGAAAGCTGGAGTTGAGCTTATAAAGTTAGAGAAAGAAAGCATCATCAAAATGAGCCTGACTAGATGCCCCTGGGTATGACTTTGAGCAGACTCTTACCTGGCTGTCCCAGAAATGATCTGTTGCAGTTTCCCACACAGAAGAATTGGTGTACGCACCAAGGACCCAGGGAGTCTACATAATCCAGTAATGCTCATTTGATAAAGAAGAGATTCTGGTTTGATAGAAAACAGCAAAATTCTGTAAAGCAATTATCCTCCAATTAAAAAATAAATAAGTTTTTTAAAAAAAGAAGAGATTCTGTTCAGTTCAGTAGGATATTAGTCTTTAGTTCTCCCTCACGGGTTTCTAATTCTTCGCCAAGTTGAAAATCCAGGTCTGGGTCTTGCACTAGCCCATATAATCCATTCATCATGTATTATATGTGAGCATTAACTGTAGAGCCAGTTGCTAGTTCTCAAAGAAGCCCTGTGGCAAATTCCAGTCCCTTTTCAATCCTTCTATTAATCTTGGAATGGGTTCACTATTCACATAAAATCCTTTCTATCTGAGCAAATACTTTTAGTTGAACTTTTGATCAAAAAGGAAAAAAGGAAGAATAAATCAAGTAGGAATCAAACTCCCTTTCTTTAGTTATGACTGACACAGAGAACTCAATAAGGCCCCTTTGTTTTACTTTGATAAGAAAGTGTTACCACACAGTGGAGGAAAGAAAGGCCTTGCATTGACATACTGGGGTTAGAAATGGAAAGCTTGTTTTAGTTTTTTATCTTGAATGTGTTTCTACCTAGAACGAGAGTTGTGACAGTATCCATGTGACTGTGATATCCCTGATGGAGCTGGGGAAGGGCTTACTGAACCTTCTCTCAGGTGCCACAAAGGGCCTAAAACTCTTCTTGTGTGATATTCTCAGCCAGTCCTCACTGAAGTGCTCCCAATGTAAGATTGTGGAAAGAGGAATCACACAACAGAAGCTACATACACCGATTATCTAGCATGGTTTCCACTTTTTAACCATCTTTCCTGGTGCAATGGTTGTATATTTCACTGGTTGGTACATAGGGTAAAGTAGTCACCGTGCTAAGGCTAGCCTAGCTCATGACAAAGGCAGAGGTTATCACTAGATAAAAGCCAGCTGGCTGGCTGCCAAGAGGCCACAATAGGTGAAATTTACCTTGTTCAACATGGTAGAGTCCAAGGTTGGGTCACCCTACTGAGAGAGGGTCTGTAGTCCAGGGGTGGATGTACATTAACCAAGCACACAGAGCCAAGTCTCTGTTTTTTGTATCCATAGCTGCATCATGTTCCTAACCGTGTGTGTATCTATGTGAGATACTCTGTCCCCTGGACACCACTTGGAGGATGGCTGCCTGCTTCAGGCTCAGTAGATTTCCCTCCAGTCTGTTGACCCTTTTGCTCATATAGATTTATTCATTCATTCAACAAATATTTACTGAAACTGCCATGTGCCCAGCATGAGGTTGGGTGCAGGGGCATAAATACTTGAGTTTCAGGTTATTTATTTACAGTCATTTTCCATTTTGGTCTCTCGGAGATGACTGCCTTGATTTGAGTTCTGCATGTTTTACAACCTCAAGTCACACACATACAGACACTTTATTGGTTGACTCTCAGAGATAGATAATGGCATTCCTTGCATGAGGATTCTGCTAGCTTAATTATCAGAGACCCACCTATTTATTTACTCTTTCTCCAGGTTATTGGGGCTTCCCTGATAGCTCAGTTGGTAAAGAATCCACCTGCAATGCAGGAGACCCTGGTTTGATTCCTGGGTTGGGAAGATCTATTAGAGAAGGGATAGGCTACCCACTCCAATATACTTGGACTTCCCTTGTGGCTCAAATGGTAAAGAATCTGCCTGCAATGTGGGAGACCCAGATTCAATCCCTGTGTTGGGAAGATCCCTTGGAGAAGAGAAAGACTACCCACTCCAGTATTCTGGCCTGGAGAATTCCATGGACTATATAGTCCATGAGGTTGCAAAGAGTTGGACATGACTGAGCAACTTTAACTTTCCAGGTTATTGAGTTCTCCACACTCTTAGCTTGCCCTCCCCTCAGTGGCATAACCTCTCTGGTTTTTGGATACAAAGCAAGAAACTCCTGATTCCAGTATCATCCTTCTGCTTTATATGACCACCAGTTCCACCTTTTTATGACCACCAACTTTTCAGTTATGGGGTAATCACTGTTTGATGCCTGTTTATTTACATGCTATGTGAAAATCCAATTTACATGTGTTGTGTTACAGGAGCTGTCTGGTGTTCCTCCTCCCATCCAAGTACTAACCAGGCCCAACCCTGCTTAGCTTCCGAGATCAGACGAGATCGGGCGCGTTCAGGGTGGTATGGCTGTAGACTGGTGTCCCTCCTTTAGTAGGCAGGAACCTATCATTTTAGGCCTAATAGGCAGGGTCCTATGAGACATGATGATTTGAAATCATGTCCTAGGGGGATTGGACCCCAGGAAAAACAGCCTATGTCATTTGGGATTCTTTCACTGCAAGTGACAAAAAAAAAAAAAAAAAAAAAAGACCCAAACTTGCTTAAGCCAAACGGGTGATTTATAGCTTACCATAATCTTAATAAGTTCAGGCATAGAGCCAACTTCATATATGGCTTAGTTCATAGGCAGATTATTTCACCAACACCATCAGAGATACTTCCTCTGGGTTGGTTTCTATTTTCAGGCTCTTCCTAGAGAAGAAGGTACCCCTGGTACCTTCAGTCTCACAATGCCTAATCCAGCAGTGGAGTTCTCTTTCCCAGTAGAGCAACGGAAGTCCCTAAATTGAGTTTTACTAATTGGCCTGACATGGGTCATGTGTCCATCGCTGAACCAATCATGGGTGGAATGTTCTGATACTGGGTCTCTTCAAATTCAAGAGGGAAGTTGGAAAATAAGAATGAAAGTACACAATCAGACATAATTGAGAAAACAGGGAAAGTGAGGAATGGGCAATGGGGAAGTGAAAAAAGCCCAAATCTTAGACATTGTCTTTTTTTTTTAAAATAAATAGCTTTATTGAGATTCACCCTTTACTGAAGGTGAAAAATTCCCTGCAAAATTCACCCTTTAAAAATTTTGTGTTGAAGTAGAAGTATAGTTGATTTACAATGTTGTGTTAGTTTCTGGTGTGCAGCCAAGTGAATCAGTTATATATATACATATACATATATCCACTCTTTGTTAGATTCTTTTCCCATATAGGGGCTTCCCTTGTGGCTCAGCTGGTAAAGAATCCGCCTGCAATGCAGGAGACCTGGGTTCGATCCCTGGGTTGGGAAGATCCCCTGGAGAAGGAAAAGGCTACCCACTCCAGTATTCTGGCCTGGAGAATTCCATGGACTGTATAGTCCATGGGGTCACAAAGAATCAGACACAACTAAGGGACTTGCACACTTCACTTTCCCTTATAGGCCATTACAGAGTATTGAATAGAGTCCCTTGTCCTATACAGGAGGTTCTTATCAGTTGTCTGTTTTGTATATAGTAGTATGTATATGTCAATCTCTTAATTTATCCCTCCCCCACCCCTGTTCTCCCCACAGGTAATCGTAAATTTGTTTTCTACATCTGTGACTCTATTTCTGTTTTGCAGATAAGTTTATTTGTACTCTTTTTTAAAATTAAAATTAACCTTTTAAAGTGGTTTTTAGTATATTCACAGAGTTGTGCATTGCTCACCTCCACCTAATACCAGACATTTTCATTAATCCCCCCACCAAACTCCATGTCCATTAGCAGTCATTCCCGTTGTCTCCACTTCCCTCAGCCTTTGGCAACCACTAATATCTTTCTGTCTCTACAAATTTGCCTATTCTGGACACTTCATATAAACACATATAATCATTGAAAACGTGACATGGTATATTTGGCTTCTTTCACATAGCATACCTTGTTTAATATTCATCCATGTTGTAGCACGTATCAGTACTTCATTCCTCTTTATGGCCAATTAATATTTCATTATATGGATATAACACATTTGTTTATCCACTCACCAGATGATGGACATTTGCATCATTTTACCTTTTGGTTATTATGAATAATGCTACTAGAAACATTTATGTACAGGTTTGGGGTAAGCTTATGTTTTCAATTTTCTTGAGTATATGCTTCAGAGTAGAATTGTTGGTTTATATGGTAACTTTACCATTTAACCAGTTGATTAACTGCCAGACTGTGTTCCACAGGGGCAATATCATCTTGCATTCCCACCAGCAATGCACAAGGGCTTCAATTTCTCCATATCTTTGTCAACATTTATTACTGTCTTTTTGATTAATGCCACTTCATGGGTGGAAAGTGGCATCTCATTGTGGTTTTGATTTTCATTTCTTTAATGGCTAATGGTGTTAAGCATATTTTTCTGTGTGTGTGTGTTTTTTGTCATTTCCATGTTTTATTAAGAGAGATGTCTAGTCAAGTCCTT